TTATCCCAGACAGGACAGGTTCATTGTGGATTCAGGCAGATGAAAAGATAATTTGGAAACTGTGGTGACTCTAACATGCCTTTAATGCTGAATCAGGGGATCACACTCAGAAGCAGACCAGCAGGCAGGAAGGCAGGGAGGCAGAGAGGCCAGTAGGCAGTAGCTGAACGCCCAGGCTCTCAGTCTCCACGCTCCTGCTCTGGCTTCTCTTGGGCATTCTCTCATGGTTTCCCTTCTTGTCTCAGAATCTTTCACCCCAGGCATCTTACTCCTAGGTACGCCTACACTCTGCAGCTTCTTGGCCAGGGTGTCCATAATTACAGGTGCGCATGCTTTGTGCTCAGGCTTCTTGACCCTGGGTGTCCATACAACCCATGTGCTTTTTGCACCAACACAGTATCACGTGTGGGCAATGAAACCTGGGAGGTAAAGCAAGGCTGCAGGTGGCAGCTGTCGAGGCTGATAGCAAGAGACAAAACAAAACCCTGAGCCACTCCATTTTCCTATAAAGGTCAAGCACTAAGAAAACTTACCCTATGTGCACATATACTGATTTGTCAGCTGGTAACTTTCTTTGTTAGCTTGAGGTGGACTTTTACCTTTAGCTTTGACGTTCTTATGACAGGAGTTCCCCTCTTGACAAATGGTCCACATTTCTCCAGAGAAACTAAACATGTCAGATATTTACCTTCTCTTTCACCTTGAAGCTAAATAAGTTCATGATAAAGGCTCCACCAAAATGATGCATAGGCCCTCCCTGGTGGTGCAGCGGGTTAAAGCACAGCACTGAGAATCTAAAGCCGCTTCCGCATGAGTTCTATTCCCGCCTGCCCCAGAGGTGATCACATGGCGCAGCAGACCTCTCCTGACCCGCCCGCTGCTCCCCTCAGCAGTGTACTTCGTTGATCTGCCTGGTCTGCTCCCCACTCTGTCTCTGGTGAAGCCTCTCGCCGCCCCTGAGCCTCTGGCCTGTACCCCAGTTCTGTATGCACAAATAAATAAATCTTTAAAAAAAAGATGCATAAATAAGATGCATAAATACACATATGAATCATAATCTACTGGTGAATCAAGAGTTTCAGGAAGCAGAAGCAAGGATTAAGCATTTGCTTTGCAGACTGTAGTGCAGCAGGCACAAAGCACAAGGCCACTTACCTATTCTGACAGACAGATAGAGTCCCAGAACCCTTTGTGGATTGTGCAGGCGTTAATGCTCTCAGAAAAGTGGTGTCACAGGCACAGCAGGCAGAGAGGCTGGCCTGCAAGGAGGCAAGCATGGTGCAGGCCAGGCAGGCAACCTTGCTTCCCAGCCCCCCACAAACCTTTGGGCTCCTTCTGTAGTCAAGCAGCTCGTCTTCCTCACTAACGCCGCTTTTATTCCCGCACCCAGGCTCAGGTGTGCACACTTCCGCTTGCCCACACCAATGCACAACTATCTGACACACGTGCCCCACACTCACACTCCCAAACAACTTCTGCATGAACACGCTCAAGGTTGCAGGTGATAGCCACAGAGGCTATGGCATAAAAAGCTTGATTAATTCCCTTACCCTACACAGACCAATAACCATTGTGTTCAATTTCCAGAAACAGCAGTTTCACTGGTTCTAATAAAGCCTGGATGTCCAAGGTAAGTGCACATGTGGTGTGTAAATTCAGCAATATAGCTGCTGCCAGAAAAACTGTGTGGGTACATTCTGGTGTGGTTCTTAAATGTGACAGTTCCAAAATGTAGTTTCCTGCATGACCAGGCAATGATAAAATTGTACATTGATTGACCTGCAGGGATCTTAAAGATGACTTAGTAAATCCCATCACTTCAATGATAAAGAAAAAAGCGCCCAAATGTAAGTGATTTGGTCAAGATTGTATGGCTAGAAAATGTCAAATAACATAGCAATATATCAAAATTGATATCAGTACAACAACACAGTGCACATCTATTGGCTCCCAGGTAAATGCCTCTGACCCTGGCCATTATTTTGAAGTAGGACATTTTCTGAAACCCTCAAAATAATTGAGTCTTCCTCTTCCACTTATATTAGCTACAAGGAGGGCTATGTATTTGGACACACTCTATTCTCATGAGAGTCAAACAACTATCAACTAAAATGACTATAGCAGAGGTAGTAGTCTCTCACTAATAATTTTTTTTAAAGATTTATTTATTTATTCATATAGAACTGGGGTACAGGCCAGAGATGCGGAGGGTGAGAGGATTCACCAGAGGTAGAGGGGAGCAGAACAGGCAGATCTATCAAGTACACCGCTGAGGGGAGCGGCGGGCGGGTCAGGAGAGGTCTGCCGCGCCATGTGGTAACCTCCGGGGCAGGCGGGGATCGAACTCATGAGAAAGTGGCTTAAGCTTCTTAGTGCTATGCTTTAACCCGCTGCGCCACGAGGGAGGGCCCTCTCTCACTAATAATTTAGTGAGAAAAATTTTTAATAAAAAAATTAATAATTTTTTTTTCTTAAGTCAAAGTGAGAAAAGCCAATCAAAGAAAGTACCTTCTTAAGCAGCTATTCACTAGCTGCAAATTGTGTAGGGCTTCCTTCTGGGCTTGGAGGTAGCAGTGTGGGATGGTGATTAAAACTTGGACTCTGGAGCTAGCATAACTGAGGTTAGAGTCCTCGATCTATCCTCACTAACTGTGGTTTTGGAAAGCTGGCATAATTCACTGTTTTGATGAGTAAAATGAACATTGTTATTACAGTCTCCTTTGATAGGATTGTGAGGGGGCAAAACAACCTACAGAACATGCTGGTGGTTGGGAAGGGCTGTAATATATCCCTTCATTAAAGAAATCTGTTGGAATGGCTAAAAACAGAACTAGGCCCTGTCAGAATACAGAATACAGGCATCCAGATTTGTACGTTAGAAAGTCACATAGGAGGTTCTGAGCATATAGAAAGATTATTCTGGACTAGTGGCTCTCAGAAATCAGCAAGCATCAGTGTCACATGAAGGTTTCCATGAGCCCCCCTCCCCAAGATACCTTATTCACAGAGCTGAATGGAGGCCTGAGAATTCCCATTTCTAACAAGTTCCCAGGGGTTGCTGCGGCTGCTGATAACTACACTGGGAGAATTAGTGCTCCACTTCAGAGGTCACTCCTCTGGGCCCTTATCACTTCTGGTTTGGGCAAACACAGCTTTACTAGAACCCAGCCCAACACATATATGCATTGTTTATGTTGTTTTTCACTATACTAGCAGATTTGACTCAATACAGAAAAGATTACAAAGTGTAAACTATTTATATCTATATCTTTATTGTAAATATTTAAAAACCCTGTTTTAGGATTAGAGAGTTCTGATAACTTGGGTGGAGGGAATAGCCTTGGAAAACCCCCATTATTACATTAATTTAATAAGGGATTGATTGGGAGTGAGGTTCAGTCATGAATGTATGTGTTCGGAACAAAAGCATTGTTTTTCTCCAAATCTAGCTCTTGTGCTGTTTGTAAATGTGTGTCTTCTTAGAATGGGGAATTGTTACCTTGTACTGAAATATTTTTTTTTAAAGATTTTATTTATTTGTGCATACAGAACTGGGGTACAGGCCAGAGGCTCAGGGGCGGTGAGAACTTCACCAGGGATAGAGTGGGGAGCAGAACAGGCAGATCAATGAAGTACACTGCCAACGGGAGCAGCGGGCGGGTCAGGAGAGGTCTGCCACACCATGTGTATCACTTCTGGGGCAGGTGAGGATTGAACTCATGCGGAAGCGGCTTTAGCTTCTTAGTGCTGTGCTTTAACCCGCTGCGCCATCAGGGAGGGCCCTACCTTGTACTGAATTTTAATAAAGAATTGCTTAAGAGACAAGCTGTATTGATTATACCATCTACTTCATTTTGTGAGTCTTACTTGTTCATGTCTGAGTTGTAGTTTAACTACTCATTATGGTGCCAATTATTTATTTCAAAGGCCTTCATCACAGAACAGTGGGCACTAATCCTTGTACATAATCTGGGGTATGCCTATCTGAGAGCTGGCCCCCACTCATGGAGCTTCCCACACTCACACTGTGCACTCTGCTAACTAGCATATTAAGGACTAGAATTTGGTTTTCATTGGTAAAAAAGTTACTTATTGACAAAGAATATTAGAAACAATGTGTAATTGAAATTAGTGACATATGAGGTTTGAAAATAGACTGAAATATTTTAGAAGTGTTCACCTTGGTTACACAGAGAGTATAGAGTTGGCCCATAACAAAATTGGGGTCTTGGGCACACCCACCTCCACTACTTTACCCCCATTACATAGCCCAATATCTGTGTTACTTTTGACTTCCCACAAATATAATAATAGCTTGCTATTCTTGGTATTGACCAGAAGTCATACCAATAATATAGTGTGGGGAGGGTAGAGGTAAAAGAAAATATGATATGTGTGGAGGACCACACCTAAGGGGAATAATAACTATATAGAGATGACCAATGATGTAAGAAAATAAAAAATAAATCATAATAAAATAAAAGAAAAAAGATCAGGAACAACATACAAAAACAGTATAACTTTACAGTATAACTATCCAGATAACTTTACAATGCCCTGAATGTACAAATATATATATGACTTTTTTACTTTTTGATTTCTCTAAGAATACTTCTATGTGATACCATTTCTCCTTCCATCATTTTCTTTAGTGTCAGTGCCAATATCATAAACTGGCTCATGTCATAAAAGATGTCAAAAGCTGGCTTGCTTCATCAGATTGTCTCATGTCCCCTCTTGCACCTTCTTCTTCCTCATCGTCTGGCACTTCCTTGGCAGTGTTCTTTTCCATCTAGTCGTTTTCAGTTAATTCCTGTTGTGGGTGCCCATCATGTGAGTGCAAGATCTCTAGAATGGGGACACAAGGCTGAATTCCTGCTCTCACCATATCCTCATTTTCTGACAGTACTGGAAGAGCCTCTTAAACAAATCTGTTCCTACATTTTTCCTTCTATACTTCTGACTTGTTACATTTTTATTTTTTTAAAAAGAGAGGCTGTGGTTCCATAGTGTAGTGGTTATCACATCTGCTTTACATGCCGAACGTCCTGGGTTCGATCCGCAGTGGAATCAGTAAATGAGGGGATTCCCTCTTTTCTTTACTCTGCAAAAAGGTATGGGCCATTTATTGAGTTATTTATGCATACAAGAGCTGGAGTGCAAAGCCAGAGATTCTGGGGGAGAGAGGGAGTGGGTAGATGAGAAGATTCACCAGAGAGACAGTGGCGAGCAGAACAGGTAAATTGACTGAAATACACTGCAGAGGGTAGCAGCAGGTGAGACAGGAGAGGTCTGCTGCACCATATGGGTCAGCTCCCTGGCTGGGGATAGAACTCATGCTGCAGTGAATGCTGGTAGCTGTGGATAGCTGCAGATAGCTTCATTGTGCTGAGACTGTAACCCCTTGAGCCATCAGTGAGGCCCTGTTCTATTTTAAATCCATGTTTTGGAAGCTTAATTTAGACAAAAGTTGTTTGGGGTTGAGTTTAACTTACTTTAATAAAGTTACTTTAAAGTCGGGTATTAAGATGCCCTTACCACTATGAACATGTGCAAGACAGCACCAGAAAAAAACTGCTCCTGCTACTGGATACTTACCAATACAACCATCTGCAGGGTGATGCTAGTCAGATGGTTGTGCTACTGTGAACTTGTAATTATGACCATGAAGGCGGATACCTTTGCGGCATCATGGAGTCCAATACATGCTGAAACTTTTTAACTCTATACATGAGGGTTTGTGAAGATATATTAGCAATATTCGGACTGGACAAGGCATCTCTGTCTGATCTCAGTATCTCTCTAAAAACCTTAAGGCCTTTGCTCTGGCCTAGACCCAAGACAAATCCTTATTGTCAGTAGCGTTACACCACAAAGCACTCTTAAAAAGATCTTGAAGCACTCTCTTTTGTTCTTGTAACGGTACGAAAGTGTAACAGTATCAGAAAGTTAGGAACATCACTGGGCCTCTTTGATTGCACAGGGGTCAGGTCTCAGCACCATGAAGCTATCTGAAGCACAAGTTCAACCCCTGGCCAGGGAGCTGACCCCCATGCTATAGCAGACCTCTCCTGTCTTGCCAGCTGCTTCCCTTAGCAGAGTATTTCAGTCAATTCTGCTCCCCATTCTGTCTCTGATGAATCCTCTCCCTACCCTCTTCCCCTCTGTACCTCTGGCCTACACCCTGATCGTATGTATAAATAAATAAAATAAATCTTAAGAAAGAAAAAAAAGAATAGGACATCCATTTCTGTCCCAGTGAATGGCTTATGCCACGAAACAATTCCTGGAACTATCACATCTGAACAGCCCAGTTTGCTTGTCAACACCAGTGCCTTTGTTCTCCAAGCATTGGATTCTAGCAACTTCACATGGGACATCAAATTCTTGGGAGGAGAGGCTGGCACTCCCACATTCTTTCTGGAAAGGCACAACTCAGCTACATTTTCACTTCATTTTTTTTACCTCCACTTTGCCTGGAACATTGGTGTAATTAATTCACTACTGGATTTGAGCTTGCTATTTCTGTATTGGTGTTGATATTGGTTTAAGAGACAATATTCTGTATGTCATTAGTTTGGACAATAATTTTATTATAAATTTTATCACCCACAGTAAATCTATGATAAATAAAATATTGACAAAGACAATCTTGGTCTCTAAGCAAATATTTTTTGTATCCTTCTTTCCCCACTTACAAAATACAGATATGCAAAGTATTTGCTAAAATCATTGAGAGAATCAATATTAGACCCAACCCAGAGTCTCAACACTGAAGGTAGGTAGAGGCTTCCCCCGCTTCTAAGGCAAAGCATCCATTTCTTGCTCATGGTGGTAGCGACACCTTTATTAAAATTCATCAAACTATACATTTAAAAGTGAAGAATTATAATATGTGTAAGTAATAACCTATATAAATTGTAATATGTGTTAGCAATAACCCATATAAACAAAATATATATAATTAAAATTTTAAATATATATAAAATTTAAATATACATACTTAAACTTTTATATATATGTATGTGTATGTATATATAAATATATATATATTTAAAATTAATTTCATCTACTAGCTTTTCCTGAACTTACAATTGCTGCCATTATGGGGGTACAAGTTTTCCACATGAGAGCAACTGTGCTGAGTGCTTCACGTCTGGTATCTGGTGAATTGGCCAGTGTGAGTATGGCCTGTCTAAGCACTTGACTGCATTGTCTGAGTCTTTCTGGGTGACATTTTCTGAAATGGCATATGTAGAACTCAGTAAAGTTCTACTAGGGCTAAATAGGATTTAAGTTGGTGAAATGGATCTTCACTTTGTGTAACTAGAGAGGTTACTAAGCACACCTGTCAGGGAAGCCAGCCTGGAATATTTCATTCTCCCAAAAACCCTTGGTAGATGGTGTGATTGTCCCCACTTCACAGATGCTGAAGCTTAGGGACAAGGACAGAGAAAACAGGCAGTTGACAGTGGGGCAGGTAGATACCAGGCAGTCCAGTCCTAGGCAGGCTATTGAGGTGCTGCGTGGGATCCGAGGTGTCATGCTAGGATAGATGATAAAAGACTCATGTACGGAGGTGTGGTCCCACGGTGATCTGGGAGCCTAGGAACAGGAAGTGGCTGGGCAAAGGCACCCTCAGGACGCTAAAGGCCCAAGTCTCTGGGGAAGGAGCTATTTGCTGTAAGCCTCACACAGCCTCTTCGGATCCAGAAGGCCTTTTCAAGATGTCTTACCTGCTGGGTGGCAGACACTTTATGGACTAGAGAGTCCCAGGAATTTTACAATTTCGCCTTCAGTTTCTCCAGCACATTGTTTCACTTTCATTTTTGTTGTTAGATAAATGAAACCTGAGAAGGGATCCACCCCCAATCCTGAAGAGAAACTGCTGCCTGACAGACTGCAACGGTCAAACAGATGGGGACAATGGCCATGATGCAGACCCCAGAGAGCCTCAGTCCTGGCCAAAACTGTGTGCTAATCCTGATCTTCACTGTGCTCCTGCAGTCCCTCTGCATGGCTGTGACCTACGTGTACTTCACCAACGAGCTGAAGCAGGTCAGTAAGCGGCACAATCCCTGACCAAGGTACTGAGCAACCCTCGGGTGAACTGCCTCTCTTTTCCTCTGAAGACTTTAGAAGGGAAGAATGTACTACTCTTCCCTGGCTGGGAGCATAACCTGCTAAGGCCCATCATTACTGGGGGCTTTGCAAAGGCTGAAGTTGGAAGGACTGAGCGAACAAGGTGCAGTGCAGAACTGGCTCCAGCACTTATTAGCAAAACTTCTTAGGTGGTTTCCAGCTTTAAAGGCATATTTTTATCACACTAGTAATTGCTACCATTCATTGAGTGCTTTCTGTTAAATGATTTTAGTTGGACTTTCAGGCAGAACTTGCAGAAAATAAGGCTTGAGCCTTGCACGTACAGAAATTATTTGTTTACCCTTCAGATTTCAAGCCTGTTTACCAATGCTGGAAACCTCCTTTCACTCTATTCTTTAAATATCTTAAACTATTTGTCAGAAAGCCTTCATATAGACAGGCCAGTCTCTCAAAAGTTGCAGGTAAAAAGGTATATTTTAAACTAAACCAAATCTAAAACTAGACTAAATCTACACTAAAATCAGAAGCAAGTCTTGGATTGTCATCAGCCTTTGCATTTTCCCCTAAGACATGACGTGGGAGTAAATCTCAAGTTTGAAATATGTTTTGGCTTTAGCTGGATAACATGTCTGTGTTGACAATTGTGAGAATACTCAGGAATAATTCCTTGTCTGTAGGCATATTCTGGGTAAATATCTGTTACAAAGAGTTTTAAAAATGGACTCAGCACTTCGCTGTTTATGAAAAAACAAGGGAAAACAAAACAATCATTCTATGCCTGTGACTAGTTCAAGTATATTTATATAAAAAAAAAAAAACTGCTGGGCCCTCCCTGGTGGCGCAGCGGGTTAAAGCACTGCATTGAGAAGCTGAAGCCACTTCCGCATGAGTTCGATTCCCGCCTGCCCCGGAGGAGACCACATGGTGTGGCAGAC